CTCTGTTCATTAGAATGCGTCTAACCTATATGACCTCAGGACTTCGCGTCCGGCGGCCTCCATCTAGGCTTCCTTATCACAAAGAACAAACCCCTACGCCATTCCTGCAATGCAATCCTGTCAGTTTGCCACTATGTGCCCGACTCGCAACTCAAAGTCAACTAACCCAACACACAGACGCCTCCACAGCGCCTCCACAGCAGCCGTAACAATCGGAACCACCATCCTCGAAGATCAAGACTTCGTTCGCGACTTCACAGCCAAGAGCCAACAGAGTCTTGCTTCAACATACCGAATCGCAACATCAACTCTTGCCCAAGAGGGCATTAGCTACATAAAGGGAGGGTAAGCCAAGATATTTCCAGAACTCATTCTAAAACTATGTTCAATATACTTACCAACTTATATTGTTCCCTCCAGAAACGCCGGGTTCTTTATATATATCGACCTATCATCCTATCTCCCCAAGAATAGTGGTAATAGCACATCTCCGCTTGAATTCACTCTCGCTCAGAAATTCGTCGATGCAGGTGTATTCCTGCATCCGTGCGAAGAGCATGGAAATATACCAGGGTGGTTTAGGCTTGTCTATGCTCAGGACGAGGATGTGTTGAGGGAGGGGTTGAGAAGGTATGTAGCCATGTCTTCTGTTTCCCAGTCTACTAAGTACTCTTGACTTTGAGATATCGTAGGCGGGGTTAGTGCATGGTGCTAATGATATATATCACAGGATGATCGGGGTGTTAAAGAGTTTGGTATGAACGATCTAGTCTTTTGGCTTCGTTGCCTAGTGAAATTGTCGCCCGGTGAAATTGCAATGAGTATGATGTTATCGTTGGTAGTATACTATTAGCAAAACTACAAGCATCACCAATCCAATCCACAAATCTAACATAACCCAATGAAATTGCTATTTTATGATCTTTCACTAAAACAAAAGAAAAGAAAACATGAAACCCATCAAGATATCTCATCTAATCTGTATCATGTATAATCATCACCATCTTCATCTTGATCATCTACTCAATATTGGCAAAGTTGAAAGAAGGCTGGCCAGGAACGGCATTCTCAGCCTGCAGTCCCTCCCTCTTCTCACCAGTACCAACGACCTCACCAGTCTTGCCACCCTCATCGACAGCAACAATCTCCAGCTCCTTGGCGCCAGTGACGCGCTTAATAGCAGCAACCATCTCGCTGAGGACAGCGAACTCATCGAAAGGCAGCTTGCGGTCGAAGACAGCTTCGGGGACTTCCTTGTCGACAACGAGACGCTTCTTGAGTCTCTGGACGAAGGGCATAGCCTTCTTCATCTCGCCGAGCTTGCCGACCTTGGCGTTCAGCTCCTTGTCGTTGAAGGAGATGCTGACCGCGTCGAAGGCTTCGCGCACAAGGTCGATGTACTTCTCCTGCCAGACGGGGAACTTCTTGGCCGCGTAGATGCTGAGCTTCTTGGGCTTGCGGGGGTCGAAGGCAGTCTGCTTGCCCTTGGAGAGCTTCTTCACGAAGTTGGCCTCCGCGGAGGTGATGCTGGAGGTGGTCGAGCGGGCGTAGTCAAGGGCTGCGGACAGCTCGAGGGAGGGCTCGGGGACCTCGGGGAAGCGGGCGTGGTGGATGGTCGAGGGCTGGATAGGGTGTTAGTGGGGGTGTGATGGAGTGGAGTTGTGGGGTAGGTACGAACCTTCTTAAGGATCTCGAGCCAGATGTGCTCGGACCAGTGAGGAGCAATGACGGCCATCATCAGAGCCTGCAGCTCAATGTAGCGGAGGACGACGTCACGGTGCATGCCAATGCCGGCAGTGGTGGTGGCTTCACGGTAGAAGTCACGGGCGCTGACCAGGTCGTACAGACCGGACTTCAGGGCGAGCTTGAAGTTGGTGCTATAAGTAGTTAGCTTCATGAAAGTCCAAGTGGAAGTCAAGTGAAGCAAGATGAAGAGTTTTTATGAAGGGTCCATCAGGCATGTGGTGATGTTTGTCTCATGGCCGTGAAAGGCTCTGAAGTAGCAAATACGTAGAATATGCGAACATCATGTGGAGAGGTGATTGCGGGATTGTAGGGGGATAAAAAGGTGACTTACTCCTGGTAGTGCTTCTTGGTCTCACGGACAAGGCCGTTAAGCTCGTTGTCGAAGAGCTTGTCCCAGAAGGCATCGGCGGGGCCGGTACGCAGGGACTCGTCCTTGACAACTTCCTCCATCCAGTCCTTGAGAGTGTGGAGACGGAGGATGTTGCTGTTAGCGACGGTTTCCTCGAAGTTGGCGTCTTCGATACCGTCACCAGCATCGGCGAAGGCGATACGGGTGGCATCAGCACCGAACTTGTCGACAGCATCCTTCAGGGTAAGGAAGTTACCCGTACTCTTGCTCATCTTCTCACCGTTGAGCAGCAAGTGTCCGTTAGCACGGACACCGCGAGGCCAGTACTCAGGAGGGAAGAGGGCGACGTGGATGTACAGGAAGAAGGTCAAGTGGTTCTGGATGAGATCCTTTCCGGAGACACGGACGTCCAGAGGGTACCAGTACTCGAATTCTCTACGCATCTTCTGCAGGGCCTCCTTGCTGATACCACTCTTGGAAACAAGCTCATCGCTGAGCTCACGTCTGGTGAAGACGTAGTCCCAGACTTCGTCGATCATCTGCTCGGCCTTCACGTTCAGGGAGCCAGGCTCCTTACCGTAGCGGTCACCGTGCAGGTAGTGGGCGATGGTGTAGTAGGCCATGTAGACGGTACTGTCACTCAAACTCTCGACAAGGAACTGCTTGTCCCAGGGCAGCTTCGAACCCAGACCGTAGGTTCTGGCGCAAGCCCAGCGGTTGAGCCAGGACAGGTTCTTCTCGAAACCGTTCTTGGTTTCGTTTGAGTAGGCGTTCAGGGTGTTCACAACGTGGTCCAGGGTGGTCTTCTGCCACTCAGCGTCGTTCTCACCGTAGTTCAGGAACCACTGGCCGAGGTAGGCAACAACACAGTCATCTCCACTGCGGCTGACAACCTTGCCCATAGGGTCGGCGAAGGGGAAGGCATCACCGCTCTCGTAGAGAGACTTACGGATCTTCTCCTTAACAGCGCTCACGGGCTGTCCCTTGTACTCACCGACAATCATGGTACCCTTGTAGAAAGCTTCACCATAGGCCAACTCCTTGGCCTGTGCAAGCTGGTTAACGTCCTTGGGAGAGTTGATCTTGAGCTGCTTGACGAGAGCGGGAGCAGTGAGGTTTCCGTACGTCGGAGTCTCGATGAGAGGGAAAATCTCCAGCTCAGCCCACTCCTTCTTGATACCATAGTACTCCGGCTTCTTCGCGAGATCCATCAAAGTGGCGTAATCATCGGGAGAATCCGAGGGCACGGAAGTGACAACACCGGTACCCTTGCTGGCAGAGACACCCTCCATTGGAAGGATGCGCACACCTTCAGTGTGGAAAGAAAGAGGAGCGTTGACGAGAGTACCGACATAGGCAGTTCCGGGGGCCTCAACGACAAGGGGCAGTTGGTCCTGGGACTTGAGGAACTTCTCGCCGTCGGCGAAGTAGCCCTGGAAAGCCATGTTCCAGGCAGCCCGCTTGGTGACGACGAAGTATTCCTTCTCCTTGACCTTGTAGAGACCATAGGTGATCTTGGGGCCAAGGAAGCAGCAGGTCTGTCCGTACATGGTCTCCGGACGCAGAGTGGCGGGGACGAAGTAGACATTGGCATCGTCCTCAATCTTGCCCTTGACGAGTTCGGCGATCTCAGGAGCCCACTCCTTGACCTTGAGCTTCATAGCGGTGTATTCCTGGGGACCGATACCCTCACCCTCAGTGCGGTCGTGGTCCATGCAAGGCTGTCCGTCCTTAGGAGAGTAAATGGTGTAACGGTTGCCGTACTGGATCTTGCCCAGCTCGTGAAGGCGGTTCATCTGCCAGCGCACAAAGGCGTCATAGTAGGGGTTGGCGTCGGTGGTGACGAACTGTCTGCGCCAGTCAACACGGGCACCCAGGCTGTCGAGATCACGGATGGCGAGAGGGGGGAAGTGCTGGAGCCAGTGAGCGGCATCGGCGAACTTGTGAATCTCCTCAATGGGGATACCAATAGCCAGCATGATCTGGAACTGGTACTTCATCTTGACGGTCTTGGCAGCGGCCTTGCTCTTCTTTCCGGAGAACTTCTCCTGCTCTGCCTTAACCTCCTGGGTGGGAGCGGCAACGGCAGCCTTGTCCTGCTCCTCAGACTCTTCGCTGTAGCCCTCGAAGTTCTTGCCGAACTTGGCGACTTCATCCCGAAGCTTGTCGGCACAGGCCTTGATGGGCATACCAGTGCAGTGGAATCCGAGAGGGAAAAGGGCCCTCTTGCCCTCCATGCGAGCAACACCGGTCATGAATTCGACCTTGCTAGCAGTGAAACTGTGACCGGCGTGAAGGGTACCGTTCATGTAGGGGTAGGCCATGGTTCCGAAGAACTTGGGGTGCTTCTCACGGAGCTCAGCGGCGGACATGCTGCCGAAAGGCACCTCTGTCTCGGAGGGAGCATCGACCTCAAAGACCTTGTTTGCCTTCCATTGGGCCTGGTACTTCTTCTCGAGGGCGATAAGGGTATCTCTCTTCTCGGTCTATGCAGATAATACATGGTCAGCTCAATCCAGGTCAAATCGAGTCCCTTGGGGACAAAGAGGGGCATGTGAGGCAGACATTCTCGAGTTTCATAGTGTTTTTCGTGCCCTGCTCGAGCGCAGCTGCAGACGCAGCGGCGGCGGCGGCTGCCATGGCTCCGGATGTAGAAGAATAAATCTGACAAACTGGAGATAATGAGCCCGAGGGCGAGGAGGGAAAAGGGCAGCGTTATATAGATCGAGCGACTGGAGTCACCGCGGGGTCGAAAAGAATTACTCCGAATGTGGGAAAAGGCGGTCCGTGAGTCACCGCCTGCCTCATCCGGTATCGGAGCATGGGGATATTCCTGTATGGAGGGCGATGGCTTCATTGCTCAGCCTCTTTCGGGTAATTGAGATATGGCAGATGGAGCTTGAATGTGGGATGATTGTTCTAAGCTGTGAGTCACAACTTTAGTGCAATTCCTGGAGCTAATGATGCATGTTGGAGTCATCAGGCTGTAAGGGAAGGCTGAACCGGGCAGGATTAGACTCGGTGAATGCGAGTTCCTTTGGAATTAAACGACAGAATGGAGGGAAGACTTGGGCATTGTCTGAACTAGAAGGCGCTAGGCGTCTGGGTTCAGTCAAAGGAGTCATCACCCAAAGTTGTCTAATAATGACAGACTATCATCAACATCGCCGCAGCACATTATCTTAGAATCACGTGATCTGATATCGGCTGCTTTTCTTTCCGCCGGGGATCCCAAAAATCAACGGGAGACAGCTCCGAATCAGCAGCCATCTAACCACCCCGTCGTCGGCCCATCCAGATCAATTACAGCCGGGCGCGACCTGAAAATCCCATCCCTTGACATATCTCCCATCAGAAAGTAGTCGCTCAGGCGCTCCAACCGTCACAATGGTCAACCTCTTCAAGCGGATGCGGAAGCTGAAAACCGTAAGTTGACCACCATCACCCATTATCAATGACCCAGATACTGACATGGCTATTTAACAGAGGGTATGTTCTCAATCTACAATCTCATCCAGCTCCCCTTGTACTCCAACCCAACCCGACCATTCCAATCCCTACCCATCGATGCCATCCCTCCCATATCGGAATCAATCAACCAACCCAACCATCCGCCGGAGAAACCCATCAAACCCAACCCTACTAACACCCAATCCCAGCTCCTCAACATCCAAGTCGGCACCGGAGCCGCAACCCTCCCCACTGTCGCAAACGCCTCGAAAGAATTCCCCGCCATTACGCGGCTGCACCTCACATACGCCCGCAAGATCTACGGCGGACACCAAGGCGCGCGACATTTCTGGCGCAACTGCCTCCCCCGGCTGAAGTACCACAACCCAGCGATTCCCATGACGGTGCGCCAAACAGAGGAACAAGAAGGCCCCGCCGCATTGACGATTTACTTCGCCGAGCGCGCCAGCAACGCCGCATCCCTGCTCTCCGCCAAGGACGTCACGGACAAGCACGCCCCGGCCCCCGGAGAGGCGGAGCAGACCGCTGTTCTGGATGTGAAGAACCTCGACTACAAGGATATCTGGGCTAAGGTGAAGAACATGACGGGCGCGCAGGAGATTCAGCCTACTCCGGAGCAGGAGTCTGAGTTGCAGAAGTTGGAGCAGTTGAGGCAGCAGAGTGATAAGGATCGCGCGCGTATAGCGGCTATTCGTCAGGCTAAGGCGGATCAGGAACGTATGTTGCAGGAGGCTAGGGGTGAGGTGGAGAAGTTGAGGCAGTTGTAGGGGTGATCTTTGGAGTGGTGATGTGGATGGGTGATTTGGCTTGTGTGGGAACAATAGTATACGACCTTGGGGCGTCGTGTCTTGTAGCATAGCATATATCTCTCTGTATTATTCCTGTTCGATTATGTAGTTTGGGGAAATTTCTTGTTCTTTCTGTTGCAAGTATACATTGTGGCTAGTTGTTCTTGTTCGGTTCTTGCTATGGATAGAATTGACATTGTTTAAGGATGTTATTTAGTGTAGTGATCTACTAAACTCCCTTCACAGGCCGTGCACTAGTGTATATGTATGTGATCATGTTCATTCATCATTGTGGAAAAGAAAAAAGGTAGAAGACATTTTGTACAGTGAAGGCCAACAAGCCCCGCCCCATGTCACAATTGCACTTGCTGGGAAGACCTCACTTCCTTGCAAAAGAAAATCCAAGGTTGGTATATGACAAGGCTAAACAGCAGAAACACTTTACGTTGCATTGTTCCTTTGCATTATATCCCAAACAACCGACCAAACTCTATGAAACCATGCTTTGTAGAGTTGCTGCAGTTTCACGCATGGTCGGGGGTATAGCTGGTTTCTCCCAACATACTCTGGCCCGCTGAGACTGTGGGTGTTGGGGTCTGAGTATGGTTGGAACCTTGCTGATTCGCTGCAGACGTCGCTGGCTGCACTCTTCCTGCTGCTGCTGCTTGAAGCCTCTGGTCGAGAGCCTTGAGTGCTAAAGCACGTCTGCGCTCCGCTTCTTCCCGCTTCGCCATGGCCCGTCCGTTGCGATGGTTAGAAAGAAGACTGGGAAGACCTGCCTCGCCCCGTGCCAGAACCTGCTGATTACCCGAGGCAATGTCTTCCTCGGAGAAGGGTGTACAGATCCTGACGGCGACCAGTAGAGCATAAACTTGATCGGATAGAAACGCGATTGGTGGCTGAAGCACGTCCGGAAAGAGGCATGCAAACGCAAAAGTCTCGCTGGCATCACCCTTGATGCCTAGCCCATCGGTCGATGTGCCGGTAAGATCAGGCTGACGCTTGAAGAAGCGAAGGTAGGTCCAACTCGTCAAGAGGCCGAGCCAGGCAAGAATTGCTGCGACATGCGTGCCAAAGACAACCCCGCTGATCGTGTTCAGGAACAAAAACAGAGCGGGAAAGTGCTTCACCCGCATTTTGACCAAGCCTTTGAAGATAGTCACCGTATGCTCAGGGACAAGTTGTTTGAAGGCGACCAGAAAGGATGCTTGAATCGAGATACCGCCGCATATCTGCGTGAGGCTTGAAGTCGGTGAGTCAGTAGGGAAAGCGCAAGATGTTGTGCATTCGTCATGAAAGAACAAGGCGTACCCGCTGCTGGAGTTGCTCCTGAGGGCAGCTCCTAGAATATAGAGCGGAACAATCGCCACGTTCGGGATGACGGCGATGGCTAGGATGAACTTCGCAAACTCCCGGGATCCCCATGCGCGCTCCAGGTATTTTCCGCCATAAAAGAGAGTGGCCGCGTTCAAAAGCACGGTGAAGATGTTCTGCTCCACAAAAGTCGCAGTAAGGAGGGTCCACGGATAGAAAAGAAATTGTGAAGGAACGAGTGTCAAATAGGGTATAATCGGGGTGATGGCGGGTGCGCCGGGCGTGGTGTCAAGTTGCCGCCATCGGGCGATATTATACAGCAAGGAGAGGGTGAGAAGGCTGATAAGACAGATGCGGGTCGCTGGAGGGATGTTGACTCGAGGCGCCATGGTGTCAGAGGACGCTCTTGCGGCTATTAAACCGCAGGCTGTTGACAGAGCCCAACGGGGGTTGGGGGAAAGGAAGTGTGGGAAGGGGAAGTGAAATGCATCCAGACCAGATGATCCGTACTACGAGCTGGACTCGCGGGTGACTAGTCGCTCGGGGCGGCGTTGGGGGGGAGTTCCATTTTCGGACAAGCCTGCAAGGACGGGATCGCGTCTCTCTGATTGGATACCTTGCATGGCATCCGCAAGGCCGCCATTCATGCCTCCGCCGTGGCATTTGTTATTATGGAAAGGCAACAATGCATCCAGTCATCGGGAAACATGGATGACCAGCGGTTGTCTACCACCATTGGATTTGTTGCGTAAATAAGTTGGCGTTGAAGTTTTTGTGTGTGGGACAAGATCTGCTGACAGACACCAGTCGCATCGACAATGATTTTACTGATCATTTACCTTTCATATTAAAGCCAACTACGAATCAGCCTGTCATGAACTGATAACGAGTCAAGTAACTATCGGCGCCATCTTCGCTCAATAAGCTTCCGGGTCTCCTCAATAATCCCTTCTCAGGTCTCACCCTAGCTATTGTGGAAGACTTCTAGAGAATGCATGACAAAAAGAACCCGTGTCAGGGGAGGAATTGAGATTATACCGATCGCATGGGTCACGTGTGGCTCAAGCGCTGGGGTGTGGCTCAGCCCAAGGGAGATTTACAGTGATGGCCTAGTTACCCACCCGCCAGACTCTCTAAGTGGACCGACCACTGAAGAAAGAACGAAAGTGCAGCTAAGGTAAGCAAGCTTAGACTGCTTAGCACCAAGAGTCGTACGGGGGAGACCTTCACAGCAACCTTTCTGCCGGCCGGGGGGTAATGGATTCCAGCCCACAATCATCAATGCATGCATGTACAGAACTCCAGAAGGATGTACAACTGATCGGCATTCCTAGCAGACGGGTGAACTGCCCCCAGATTTAGATCCAGGCTATCAGCTGGCAGGAGAAAAATTGAATCTGGGCATGAAGCAGACCACTAACTCAGATAGTCAGTGTTAGGACTGCATTTGGGTGATCTGATCCCTCAAATTAGTCATATTCTCCGAAAGTCAGTGAAATTATCGCCCTTCAATCAAGTATCATGACTTTAGGCGGTCTTCAATTCTGCAGATGAACAAGGTAAGAACTAAAGCGACATCATCTGTAGGTACCATCCCAGTAGGTACATGACCGACATCCTGCCTAAGGTATCTAACGGGCCACGATCAGCACCTTCAGAGAAGGGAAAATCAAAAATTAAAAAATAAAAAATAAAAAATAAAAAATGGTGGAAAAGGAAAAGAAAGGCCACGAAAAATGCGCAAAATGCACAGAAATCCTGCGAACGACAAAGGGAAAGCGCCAATCGAACCATGAAAGGGCCGGTGCCGGCTAACCGGAAGAGGATAAGTGTAGAGGCCGATCGGGAGGCCGTCAGAAGGACCGAATGGAGCAGTTGGACCAGTTGGGATGGACCAGGGGCCCCAAAGTGGGTTGGAGGGCAGCTGCACGCTAGCCGTGGCCTAGACGCCACAACGAGTCAAGCCCACCCCCCGAAAAAGTCCCAGGCCCAAAATGCCCACTCCCAGTGCGTTCAGCGTCTGAAACAGCGTCCCAGAGCCGCGCTTGGAGAAATTCCAGCTTTGAATTTTACTTTTCTTTTTCGCTCTTTTGTTACCCTTGGCCTGGTTGGGCGTGGTTGGACCCGTAACTCTTGACTAAACCTTTAGACGGACTTCACAGCGGCGTGGAAACTGTCTTGTCGTGACTGTGAGGATCAAAACTGTCGAGTGTCGAAAAAGTGCCAGTTGACCAAGTACCTACGTACCTTTACGTACCTGCTAACCTAGCCTAATTAACTAACTTAGTTAACACTTTGTGACTGACACTGACTAACTAACCTACCCTCACCTTGTTCCTTCTCGACCCCTACCACCTCCACGATCCTACGACTGTACCTTACCTGGTCTGGTCTGTTCGAACTACCTTTGGCACTAACTAACGGGAGTTCCTCATACGCTTCCCTGGGGTCATCGGCCGGTCGTGTCTTGTCTGGCTTGTCTGTCGGTCCCATAACTCTCTTTCTCCATCATTTCGTTTCATTCACCCGCTCCGGATCTGAACTGCTTCTCTTCTTCCCTTTCTCTTCTTCCTCCCCGTCTATCCGTCCATCCGCCTTCTTCTTCCACTCCCCGAAAGGTTCTGGTGTTGCTCCCTCCGGCCTTTGCAGTTCGCTAGCGGGTCTGCTATCATTAAGCCACACGTTGGTGTCGATTTCCTCCCGTCCCGATATTATTCGCTCTTCACTCCCTCCCTCTCTTCCATTCTCCCTTCAATTTGTCCCTCTGTCTGAAAGAACAGTCTTTCGTGTTCCTTTCACCTTATTTCGCCAACCCCGTCCAGCAACAAGGCGCATTTAGGATGTGCTTTTGTGACTGGTCCTCGGTTTAGTTTTTCTCACGCCTAATCCGCCAGCCTGCGTTTTTCGTGTTTTACTCACATCCGCCCTTCCCCAAGTACCGTCTGAACTGAACATCTCCCTTGTCACAGCCTTGGCTGCATCTCTCCCACTCGGACCCTCCCCTCTCGTCCAGAGACCTCCTGTCTCTCATTCAGGTTCTGTTTGAGAGGGAAGCTGTCAGAAGAGTTTTCTTCCTCATTTAAATCTTTGCTGCGCTCGACTTGGCAGCATCTCGGACCATTGTACCTTCCAGTCCCTGCCTTGCAGCAATCCCCGCCTTAATCCTTTGTTACCTTTCACGGAGAAAGCCTTTCGTTTCTGGCATGCTAGCGGACCCTCCACCTTACTAGCTGTCATACATGTAACAATGGCACAACCCGATCTCACATCGCATCACGTCAATTACCTAATATGGAGGTATGTATCAGAGTCCCTTTGCAACCTCGTTCTGCCGTAACACGTACCTACCATGCTGCGTCATTGCGTTTCTCGACCGTTTGTATGCATTGCTAACTTCCATATAGGTATCTTCAAGAGTCAGGTAATATTCTTTTCCCATGATTTGGTGCTTATCCTTTCTTCACGGGAAAAGCAAACTAACTTTCCCACAGGGCATGGCGAGGCTGCACTCACCTTACAGCGCGCGTGGAATCGTGACCCGCAGAGTTTGCCGTTTGCCCCATACATCAAAACTCATGCTCTAGTATCCCTGGTACAAAAGGGCCTGCAGTATCATGAACTAGAGCATTCGCTCGACAGGGTATGGTATTCATTGATATTTTCGCTACGCGCCTCAAGATTTTTGGAGTAATCTCCTACACAAAAAAACATAAGAACTAATAAATTGAACAGGATGGAAATCCTACGGCCTTCACATCGTCTGACTACTTTTTCGGGCCTACGCCGCTGGAACCTGAAACTGAAAAGGGCCAAAGTGGCCCCGGGGAGGCAGGCGTTAGCACAGACCAGGCGCCTGTCTCGCCTACAAGCAAAGTTCCGCGAGATGGCGGCGTGATTAACGGTCACTTGACGGCCGAGGCGGCGGCGGCGGCGGCACCCCAAGCACCAGCACCACCTCAAGCTCCCACCGGCGTGAAGAAGCCGCATAAGAGCGGAGAGACCAACGGTGATGAAACTCCCATGGAAATTGACACTAATGGAGTAACGACTGAAAACAAACCCGAGGTAGTCGATGAGTTGCCTCCAAAAGTCGACATGGAGGTGGACGGTGACGGAGATGTGAGCATGGGCGGCCGACCGGATTCGCAGGACCAGGAACCAGAACCAGCACCAGCACCGGTGGCGCCGACCTTCACGTTAACCACCGGCCACAGCGTTGGCGTCCAGATCACCCCCGCCAAGGCCGCCGACCTTGGGCCCAACACCGCCATCCTCGATCTGGCTAGTGATGATCACGTGACTCGCACCCTCTGGCGCCCTCGGGACCCTACTACCGTCGTGGCCGCCGGTGATACCTTCTGCAGCCTGTGGAGGCTGTCTTCATCCTCGGATCCAGTACAGGAGAAACTCGTAGCGAACAAGGGGGATAGCACCTGTGTATCGGCAGTCGCCTGGGACCCATTGGGCCAGAAGCTGGCCGTCGCGACCTATAATGACATGAGAGGCTCCATCACCATGTATGACGTCTCTGGAAATGCGGTCGATCTTCTTCCCGAAGTACCGCGGATGATTACTGGGTTGCACTGGGCGGAAAGCGGGTCCCATTTGATCGTGGTTGCCTCGGACAGCCGAATCTCTGAGCTAGCGCTCTGGGACGACTCATTACGACCGGACGAATTCCCATCGCCTCAGGTTATCGAGGGATCAATCTTTGACCTTTGTTGGTTGAGCTCCAACCAGGCTTTTGCTTGCGGTAACGGGACGGTCTATCAATGCGATGTCGATTCGAGTATCCACATCGCCAAGACGTTCTCATCTGGCGACCCTGACCAGCCCTGGTCATTCATCCGCTGTGCGAATGCCGGCTCTTCATCCGTGGCGGTAACTGCATCTTCCGCCAATGCTACACTATGGGTGCCTACCCATGACATGCGCCATGAGGGTGCCCACGAAGGCGACATCACGGCCATCGAGCTGAAGCCCAATATGGAACAGCAGCAACAACCAGAAACAGCACAAACAATCGTTTTGGCCACTTCCTCCACCGACGACACGGTCAAGGTATGGCATCTGGATCTGGAGTCCAAACAGTTCAACTGTATCCACCGATTGTTTCTCGGCCCGTCAGCACCCGCTCTCGCTAGCACTTTCTCTCCCGACGGATACGCCCTTGCTGCTGCCAGTAAAGAGAGTTTGTTCATCTGGAATGCACAGCGAGGAGGCACTGCGCTGGCCACATGGAAAGTGCCGGGTCCCGGAGAGCAGAAAAAGGAGGAAGAGTCTAGTCCCATGGTGAATGGACACAATGGCACTGCGGAGTCGGTGCCGGATCGCAGTCTAGCGTGGGATACTGATGGCAAAAAGCTTGCTTTCGGCTATGGAAACCAGGTATGTCGTCCTTGCCGTTACGTGTGAAACATTGTCACTAATTAGCGTTGAATAGCTGGCCATCGTAAATCTGCAGCGCTGATACCTACGAGACGTGCGAGCCG